CAAGGCAGCAGGGGAGAGAGAAAGAGAGAGAGAATAGAGGAGCTGTTAGACACTTTTAAAACCACAGCTCTCATGAGAACTCCCTCACTGTCTTGAGAACAGCATGGAGGAAGCCATCCCCATGATCTAGTCACCTCCCACCAGGTCCCACCCTGGGTATTACAATTTGAGATCAGATTTGGGTGGGGACACAGAGCCAAACTATATCATGGCCCTTTATTGAAAACAATTGTGAACCTCTGTCCTAGATCCACGTTTTCTTTTTTCACTACATACTAGTTCTTAGTATGATGATAAACATAAATGGTTAATATTCTGATGAATAGAAAATAAATTAGGCCTTTTTACAATTGAAATAATTTTCCTCATACAGGTCACTTCAGGCCGTTTTACTTTTTACTCCTCATTCCAGTCCTGTCTGCCCTACACCCCCATCCCCCTTTTCCTCCCAGCATTGCGGAGGAAAAGAGACTGTCCTCTAGATTAAAATGTTTAAGACATCACTCTCGGGGCTAGCAAATGCCTTTGTTATTGATTTTTACAGTTATTTCCACTTTTCATTCTTGGAGTTGGGTGAGTAGATAGCCCCTAAAGTTCTTATTGTAAGCCAGTCAGTGCTGTCCAATTTCAGCTTTTTATTAAGGCTGCTTTAATTCTTTCCTGCTTCTCTTCTTTTCGTAATAATTGTGCTAGGGTTCTGTAAGTGCTGACTAAGGAAAGGAAAGTTGACTGTAGTGTGTAGAGTTTATTGTTTTAATATTTTTTTTATTTCTAAAGTTAAATTTGCCTTTCAAGCTTGAAAGGAGATTCATTCAGATCGATTATTCTTTAAGGTGTTATTTTGATTATTTCACCTGATGTCCCTTTTTTGTTTTATTCATGAACATGACCATAAATATTTCACAAAGCTGTAATGAACAGAGAGGTGGCACGTGAATGTCAAGTGGGGAAATTGTGTGCTGGTACATTTTTATGTATTTTTGTTCCTTTGTAGAGACAAGATCTCACTATGTTGCTTAGGCTGGTCTTGAACTCCTGGGCTGAAGCAGTCCTCCCACCCTAGCTTCCCAAAGTGCTCGGATTACAAGCATGAGCCACTGTGCCTGGCTGATAGTGCCTTTTTAGGTGACAAAACAATTATATTCTAAGCTATGATTCTGAGCCAAAATAACCTCACAGTCATTAAAAACTCTTCTCTGGACCTCATCCTTTGGGTCATTTCAGCCAAAAACCATGAGAAAGTGGCACATATTAGGAAAAGTATTCAAAAAGACAAAGTAGTGCTCTATTATGGTTCAGAACTATAATGTACCTACACTTGGAATGTTCTGTATCATCCTGTATCTTACAAAGTTAGAATAGCCGAAAAATTGGGGGCAATTTAGAGGCTATTCTGGAGATACAGGAGTAAATAAAACAGGTAAAAAATCTGCATTCTCTTGGAGTTTATGTTATAGTGGAATAAGACAATAGGTAAGTAAAATATATTGTATGTCACATGGTGATAAGTGCTTTGGGGAAAAAAAATCAAGCAAGGTAGGGAGTTAGAGAGTGCTTGTGGTGATGGTGACAGTGGTGGTGGCAGTGACCATTAGGGCTGATTTACAGTTTTGAATAGGTAGCAAGGGAAGCAATACAGGCAAAGTAATATTTGAGCCAAAAACCAAAGGCAAAGTGAGAATAAGTCATGTGGGAGTCACAGAGAAGAGCGTTCCAGGCATAGGGGTGGGACTGTGCATGTTTGGGAAACATCAGAGAGGCGTGTGTTGCTGCAGTGGGAGGAGTGGGCCAGGGATAATGGTAGGATTCAGGTGGATGCTATAAGAGGGGAGAGGGAATATGTTTTAAGGATTTGGACTCTTATTTGGATTGGTGAGAAGCCATTGGAAGGTTTTGATCAGAAGACTGACATTTTTTCTTTTTATGAAAATATCACTTTGAGCTACCTTGTTGAACATAAAATATAGTGGAGCAATTATAATAGTTGAGCAGTGAATATACTTTTTTGTGGAATAAAAAATATAAATGCCTCTTACCAAAAAAATGAAAGGGGTTATGAGCTATGCTCAAAATCTTGAAGATATTTGGTTAGTTTGAATATAGGCTTGGTTGACAATACTAGGATTTCTTGAACTACTTTTTTGTTCTTAAAGCCAGAGGCAGACTCCTTTAGTATAAATTACTGTTTTAAAAGCAGATGATAAACTTAGGAACTTGTACTCCTCCATAGTATCCCAGTTGAAAAATGAACTGCTTTAAATAGAATTTAGAGAAATAATTCCCTAGGGATAGATCCATAGTAGATTAACAAGGTAAGTTAGGGCTGTTGGTGGGTACCTCAGTTAACTTTGAAATTAATACACTATCCTACATTCTCTTTATTGGCAGACTCAAAGGATTACACGAACCACTGGTCTGACTCTGAATGCCATTTCTTGTTTTCATCATCTTTATCATCAAATTGGTAGTCTTGTAAGTTCAGAATCTGGGTTGCCTTCAACTTGATTTTTGTTTTCTTTTTTTCTTCTTTTTAGTTCAAAAGAAATAGAAGACTTTCAGTTAACCGAGTCTTTTGGTAGCCAGCAGATGAACCTCAGTATTGGTGATGATAGCACTGGTAGCTGGTCCAATTTAAGTTTTGAAGATGAACACCAAGATGAAAGCAGCAGTTTTCATCATCTAAGTGAAAGGTAACTACACTTTTGCATATAATTGTGTGATTTAGGTCCTCAGATCTCAGAAGCGAGCCATAAATTTACGTTATTATTTTAAAATTCTAAATTTGAAAATCTACTTTTGAAATGTATATTATTATTCACAATGAATTTTTAAATTGTTTTTAACACTTATTTAATATAGTAATTAGCCCAGCTAATTTTCTTTGGGTGTGCCAGTAGTTGATTTGAAAAATACTGCATACATTTAATTTTATGCCTTTTAAGCTTTTCCTGAACTTTTATGAACTTCTGATGAAAATATTTTTTTTCACTTTAAAAAGGGTGATTTTTTTTTCTTTAAAGAACAAGAAAAAGGACAGTTATCTCTAAAAGGCATCAAAATAGGCCTGTAATTTTCCTGATATTAGTTAAAATAGTATCTTTTTGGTGGGGCGAGGATCCTTATTTGTCCTGCTGTTAGGAACAAAATGACCTGGAACACTTAGACTTGAATGATTGAAAGTACATAAGTCAAAGCCATTATAAAAATGTGATTTTGTATAGCACAAGGCACCTCATATATAACTTTTATAGTTAACTTTGTTCATAACAGTGGTGATTGAAATATTTTATTAATTATGAGACAGTTGTTTGTTAAAGTCTTAACTGCTACCTAAAGGCATTTCTGACTAACCTATAAAATTCTATAAAGTCTTTATCTTTTCTATAATTGCTCCACTATATTTTATGTTCAACAAAATAGTTCAAAGTGATGTTTTCATAAAAAGAAAAAATGTCACTCTTTTGATCAAAACTGTCCAATGGTTTCTCACCAATCTGAATAAGAGCCCAAATCCTTAAACTGATAACCGGAAATAATAGGTACCATTTGTAGTGGAGTCTTGAGGGAGGAAAGGGTTCTCAGCATACTTCCGGTTTCAGGCATGTATCAAAGGACCTGTGAACCATCAGTTGAACTTAGCTCTTGGAAATGGCAAACTAGGAGTGGGAGGGAAGGTGAGCCTTGGAAGAGGGAATAAAGTAGCATAAGGAAAGGAAATGACTTTTCACCTGATAGAACACTTCATCTTGGGGGATTTTGTTTGATGTTTGGATTAACCTGGAAGTATTAACATGTTTATAAAGTATCTATTTCCTCATAGTTTATTACAGTGCTACATAAACCACCAATATTTCTCAAAATCTGGGTCCCAAAAGACAGTGTTTAAAACTGATAGAAGCAAATGGGGGTAATGTCACAAAGCATAATTTGGCCCTTTTCCGTAGCTTTATCTAGAAAAGGATACTAACATTTAGTTTGTTCTACCATTTTGAGAAACACAGGCTTCTAGGATTTCAGTGGAGTTGACATTGTTGTCTAGATCTCCTGGTGTTAAAATGGGAGGCCTAGGTGTAGGTAGAGGCTAGCAACATTAAGAGGACTTGGAGTCAGCTGAACAACTCTGTGCAGAATGTTATCTAATTTAATGAGAAAAAAGATGTCATCTTACCATTTTCTGTCCTTGGTTCCGTTCTCTTTAGCATTATTTATTAATGATGTGGAATACTCATTTGTGGATAATTCAACACAGGCTGAAAAAATAATCCCATTAACAGAACAAAGGTTAAAAAGACCAAATCAGGCTATGTTTAACATGGATAAATGCATTTAGGTGCAGAAAATTAATGATTAATATTTGAATTTAAGTGGGGAGCAAACCTGGCTTGATAGCATTTTGTCAGAAAAACACCTGTGTTTCCATTGACCACAATTGTAATGTGACCTAATGTAATGCTTCATGGCATTAAGGTTCTGGCACAGAGAAAAAGATAGCGGGGTTCTCATCCAGAACTGGTGGTGTGCTTGCTGCATATACAGTTTTCAGGGTCTCACCTCCAGAGATGAAGATTTATGAAGTCATGGAGGGTTTTGAGAATCTGCATGCTTGATAAGCACCGCAGATGATTTCAGTGCAGGTGATTCAAGACTGAACTTGAAAATATATTGATTTACAAGATATGTGGCATCTTTTGATGACAATTGCTATAGACACTGTTCTTTTTGATTTTCTGTTCTGCTACAGAGATCAAGGTAGGAGATAAAGACTTTGGTGATTTGGGCTGCGTGTGGTGGCTTATGCCTATAATCCCAGCACTTTGGGAGGCCGAGGTGGGCAGGTCACTTGTGGTCAGGGTTTTAAGACCAGCCTGACCAACATGGTGAAACCCCCTCTCTACCAAAAATACAAAAATTAGCCACGTGTTGGGGCAGGTGCCTGTAATTCCAGATACTTGGGAGGCTGAGGCAGGAGAATTACTTGAACCTGGGAGGCGGAGGTTGCAGTGAACTGAGATTGCGCCACTGCACTCCAGCATAGGCGACAAAGTGAGACTCCATCCCGAAAAATAGAAAAAAAAGATGGCAATTTGGAAACACTTTGTGTTTTCATTATAAGCAGGAAGTTCAGTGGAGGGCAACAACTAAAAAACAGTAATTTCAGATTTTCAAAAATGTTTAGAAGGACTATATAATTATTTGATCAGAAAAGAACTGGTTTCTGTCTGTGACTGTCTTAAATATTTCAGGTAGTTTGTTATTCTCTTAGGAGTTATGAATTATATTAGGTTAAGTGATGGGGCCAGATTTACAGAATGTTTCAGATAATTTTTGTGAGGTGTATCAGAATTGAGACCAGTCTTAATATGGCTGAAAGCTACAATAAAGCATCTTAGTACTGGATCACTGAAGTACTTATACCACTGGTTGGAGGGCATAAGTACTCTTTGCTAGACATAGGAAATATGAAAAGACATAAAATAAAGTGATGGAAACAGTATAGTGTTTCAAGAGTGAAGTAGGAAGACTCTTAAGTGAAGAAATTAAGTTTTTTAAATGTTGGATTAATGTAGGGTGATCATACTTCCCACTTAGGATAGTTTGACTTCTGCTGTTCTGCTGTAATTATTAATGGTGACGTCTTTCATTTAAAAAAAGTGTCCTGGTTAGATGAAAAATGTATATGGTCACCTAGTTAGAAGGGCATTTTGTGAAGAATGACTTCAAATACCCATTTGGAGGCACAAAGAGCGGGGTGGGGGGATAAGGTTAGAGGAACTTTGAATTTTTAGTCTTTGCTTTGTTAGCTGTTCTTTTTAATGTTTATGTAATATGTAGGTGATGGATTTGTATTATTAAGTGGAAGAATCATTGTGATGGGTAGAAAAATTTTGTATTTTTTTTCTTTGTTATAATCATCCTATTAATAGAAGTAAATAGAGTGTTTGAGATGATTAACTTTCTTTTTCTTCTTGGCTCACAGCTGTCTGTCCATTCTTTATTTGTATATTTTCTCACTTTTAGTTTATCTGACAATGAACTACATGGGTTTTAATGGTTTTATAATAGAGCTGTATTTGTTTGAACATATGTTTAAAAGACCATGCTCAGTTTTAACTTTTATTCTCTAATACATTGTGGTTTGTGACAGCTTGATTATATTAGAGTAAATATGACTATACAAATTATTTAAGATTGCTTGGAAGTGTTTTGGAACTTGAAGTAATCACCTTTTCTTGGTAACCATATCAGAATTCACTGATGTACATAAAATCATTTTACGTTTATTTTTTTAGAACCAAAAGTTTGGTTTGTATAAATATTAATTTTTATAATTGCCTAGCCTAAATATTGGGAAAAATAGCTGCTTATCACTGCAAACTAATGTGCTTACTAATGATTTTAATAATTAGGAATGATTAGAATTTTTAAATTGCATGCTGAAGGTTTTAATCTGAAAATTTGAATTTAATTTTATTTCTGAACAAGGTTGCTTTTTTAAAAAATTGCTTTGCTGCAATTTCAGAAAATACCTGCTTTCTTCTTCAGTTGATTAGGTAGTGTAAGAAGTTTTCTGTGTGTGGCATTAGTGACTGGCCAACCAGACAAGTATAATGCCTGATTAAGCCTTGGCTATTCTGGCTTCATTCTGAAGAAAATTTATGATATTTGCCACCTACGAATTATATATAATATGTGAAATGCAGATAATTGACATAATAGTATTTTAAAGTCTGAAAGCATGTTTTCTCCAAATAGTTAGAAAAGGTCTGTTTGGGCTATGTCTTAGAGCCTTCTATCCCATCTCCCCACTCCCCCACATCCCCTCACCCAAACCTGTCACTGCTTTCATTATCTAGAGACCTGAGAGAATGTTAACCTATTTTTTTTAAACTTTATCCAAATGAAAGGGTATTAGCATTTCACATATTATATTTCAAGACAGTCCTAAGACATTAATTTTCCTGTGAAACTGACTACTTCATGCATTCATTTGCTGTCCTAAAAGCCATTCTGTTAATCTGTAAAATATAAGTTTAGATAATTTTCATTATCTATTGAGAAGAAAGAAAAAAATCTGGAATCTCTGAACTTGTCAGGCACCTTTTAGAGTAGTGGTGATGATCTCTCTCCACTCTGTGGATGTTCGCCTTCATTGTGGCATCTTCAGAACATCTGCAGTTATCAAGGACAGGAGCTGTTCCAAGGAAAACAAAGATCTTCTCTACTATTCATTTTCTAGTTCAGCTCTGTTCTTTTCTTCCTCTGGCAGTAATGGTAACAGCAGTAGCTGGAGCAGTCTTGGTTTAGAAGGAGATTTGTATGAGGACAATTTATCCTTTCCAACATCAGACAGGTTGGTCCAGTCTAGAAACTTAAAAACTGATGAGTCTGTCACCACTAATGCATGATGTCATATTCTTCAAAGAATGTGGGTTACCGTGCCAGTATGTATCAACTTGCTTTTCTCCTATATTTTTACATGATTCTGCTTGATGAATTCACGTCTAATGAAAAAATTCAACTATGCTAAGATATGACTGACATCTAATTGCAAAATGTGTCACTGTTATGCATGTGTTGGTCTGCTTGCTAGTTTTCATTCTACCAGTTATTTCATTCAAAAGAGCTTGCTTCCTACAGGATTTCTGTTGAGGATTTTTTTGTTGTTATGTTTTATTTTTGTATGTGATTTTATTTTATATGTAAGAAAAGTGTAGGTGAAAAGTGTTTCTACTATATTAAAAGTATATATAAATTATATCAGATAAATCATTAGCAAATAATTATTCTGGCATTCTATGATATTCAAATGCTATATTAAATTAGTAGACTATTTCAACTTTAAATGGTTTTAAATTGAATATTATTATGAAATTACATGGCACCAGATATCATGGTAAGATAGGATTTCTTGGTTTTGATAACTTTCGGAATCATTTGCAATTCAGATTTTAACATGAAATGATGTGAGAAGCAAAGCTTCCTTTTTTAATTATCATTTCTCCCCTTTCTAAATGTCATATGTCATATGTAACATTCATTCCTTACCACATTTTTAAGAATTTGTTTTGATAACATTATTAATTAAAGTGTTTTTTTTAACTGCTTCTGCTGTTTTATTCGTAAGCGATGAACCAGACGATAAAGATGAAGAGCATGAGGATGAAATAGAAGGTAATTGATTATTTGTTTTTCAAAGTGTTGGCATGTCTTTTGTATAAGGTTTCCTAGAAGAGTCTGTATGCATTTTAATTAGATAGGCTCTGGGTTGTGTAAAACATAAATCAAGGTATTCTTGAAGTAGTTTTCTTTGTCCACTTTTAGATTTTTCATTTAGCAGTTTTATTTGATTGCTGCACTAATGAAATTCTCATTGGTGTAAAGAAATACTGGGCAGGCATGGTGACTCATGCCTGTAATCTCAGCACTTTGGGTGGCTGAGGTGGGTGGATCAGTTGAGGCCAGGAGTTCAAGACCAGCCTGGCCAACATGGTGAAATCCCATCTCTACTAAAAATACAAAAATTAGTTGGGTATGGTGGCGGATACCTGTAATCCCAGCTATTTGGGAAGCTGAGGCACAAGATTCACTTGAACCTGGGAGGTGAAGGTTGCAGTGAGCCAGGATCATGCCACTGCATTCCATCCTGGGTGACAGTGCCAGAGACTTTGACTCAAAAAAAAAAAAAAAGGAATACTTTATGAGAATTATTTGATTATTTGAGAGAAATTTATTACAATCGCTCTGTATAATTATTTTCAAAATGTAAAATTCTTACTCAGTGATAAGATAATTTGTTATAACTATGGCATATTATTTTTCACATTTTCCTTCCAAACTGGTAACTTGTAGAATTAGGTTTTTATTGCAAACTTACATGAATCAGTAAGTAATATTTTTACTTATCTTGTTTAAAAGATATTTCTAAATTAATTCTTCTTCTCTCCCCCAATTCTAGTCCTTCACTCAGACATACACATATTTGAAGAAAATACTAAGATCCTTCCTTAATGAACATAGTTTCAAGTATGTCAGCACTAGATATCATTGGCCACAGAGTTTTGGACCGTGGTTTGTAATCCTTAATTCATGTATTAGAATATCTGAGTGAATTTAGAAACTTTACTTTGAAGCTGAGTGTTCATTATATTCAGATGGTTGTTGAATTTTTTCCTAACAGTCTTATTTTTTTCTTAATTTTGGAAATACCTATATAATGTCTTCTATAAAGTGGCACATATAAATTAAAAATGTTTATACTCTCTCAGATACTTGTTTTTGAACTAGTGATTTTTAAAAAATTGCTTCTCTAGAAGTGGGCAAACAGAAAATAGCTAAAAAGAATTTCTCGAAATTTACTTTATGACACCTGAATTTTTAGTCAGTTTAACACCTTGTTTAGGGAAATTACATCCCAATTTTTAAGCTGCAATCTTCAGACTTAAGATTGTTATTTTTTTAGTTTTAATAAGCCTCTATTAGTATACATTCTTTATATAGCGCTTCTAGAAGTCAGTTTTTCTCATCAGATATAAAGTCGAAATAGGGCAATATTTTTAATGTTACTGATATTTGATATTGAGATTTCCTCATTGCAATATTTGCTTCATTCTTGATCACTAAAAAAGTGTTGACTTTGTTTAGAAAAGTTGTATGCCTTTTCTCAAGTAACACCCATGAACAGAGTTATTCCAAAGGCTGTACATGGTATAAATACATGTGGTATAAATGCATGTGGTAAGCATTCTCTAATGAACTAGTGATTGCTTAACTAGCTGTACTGAGGAATGATTAAGACAAAAGAAATTAGTGACTTCTGTAAAGAGAGAGCCGTTTGGAGGTTCTTATAGACCAGGAAACCAGGAATCCTGAACTGAGAAAACACCAGCACTGCAAAGAAACAGTAGGGTAATTAGCTTCCAGCCCCCTGAGCTCCACAGGATTGCAAAATGGCCCAGAGACCATGTCTTGTACCATGGTGTACCAAACCTATTTTTGATTGGGAGTATTTGAGAGAGGGAAGTGAAAAGACGATACCTTTATTTTTAGAGAGTAACGTGGACCAAATCTTTTAAATTAAAGAATTAGGGACAACACAAATCCTAAAAATAATTAGTAGCGGTCTAGAATGGCCTGCAAACTGTTGCAGAGAATCAGAGACATCTATCAACAACCTTTCCGTTACGGGTACATGTTGGCATGATGTCTTGCCAACATGCCCTGGTGCTCACCTCTTGTAGTGTGTGTTGAGTAGTGGAGGGGTCCTGGTCTCAGCACTCCTTATTGCTCAGGAATCATTAAGCAACATGAATGTTAGACGCATAATATTGGCCCACAAGTCATTATTTCCATCAACAGAGATGGATCTTTCTTTGTGATGAAAACATAATTATCATACAGAAAGAAAATAAATTTGAGACTTGATAGTAGGAGTATACCAGAAAATTCCCTGATCTGGCTTTTGGTTGAATATGGCATTTCCCCCCAGTTTTGTCTGAAGAATGAGTGATTAAGAGTATGGAGGCTGGGCATGGTGGCTCATGCCTGTAATCCCAGCACTTTGGCAGGCTGAGGCAGGTGGCGCGCACCTGTAGTTCCAGCTACTCGGGAGGCCGAGGCAGGAGAATCGCTTGAACCTAAGATGTG